TCCTTTCTCTGAAATATATATATATATATATATATATATATATATTTTTTTTTTTTTTTAAAAAAAAGCTCTATCATCACAGACAATATCTCTATGGAATACGTACTTTTCCTGCTAATTAAACAGAACAAGGACATTGAGGACTACTGTACCACTTACTGCAGTGAAAAGCAAAACCTACACGGCCAAAAAACTGTGACTAGTAAATTAATATGATCTATGCATGAAATGCACTGTCATGCAGCCATTAAAAATTGTGTTTTGAAAGAAAATCTGAAGATGTGAAAAAAGGCTCATGATATGATGTTAGTTCAAAAAGGGTGATGAAAAAGACGCAAAAAATATGACATCAAATTACATTTAAAAATTACATACAGAAGACTTGAAGTATAGGCCAAAATATCAACTACTGGTTTTCCTAAGGTGGCAGTATTATAAAAGATTATTTTCTGTTTTACATTAGTTGCATTTTTCTAATGCTGGACAATGAACATATATTACTTCTGTAATCAGAAAATAACCCTTGTGTCACTTTAATTAAAAGAGAGAAGGGGATAAAGCTTTTCACCATATGAGGTTTGGCCTCAAGATCCTTGAAGTCGGCCTCCTTCACCCCAGACATTGTCTGGTAATAGTCTAGGTTCTGCCGCATCTCCATGTGCTCAGGATTGCCCACGAAGAAGGTGTGCGCTGCTGCTACGGCTTTCTCCAGCTTGTTTATCTAAGAATGAAGCATAAAAACGCTATTCTCACATCCAAACCCTGAACATCTGTGTCCACATGTGCAGTCCACAGTAAACAGGAAATCTCAGCCTTCCTGAGCCTTCCATTCAGTGTGCCCCAGCCCCTGTCTGCCCCAGAAAACACACCTATGGCAGGAACCACATACCAGAGATTAGGAGCAAAGGGCCCTAGGCAGATTTTCAACTATTTTCTAAATCAGGCTTAGGGGCTCCCCAAATTACAGAAGGTAATGCTGCAACAGTATAAACATTCTATTTTAAAACAAAGGTCCTATTGTAGGGGGAACACTATAGAAAACTGACTGCCCAAATAATATATTCTCAAGATTCAGATGTACTGACTGAGCTGAAGAAAATCCAAGGCTTTACAGATATAGGGTTAGGGGAGAAAGAGCAGCTAACAATTAGACCGTGCCTCAGAATTTGCCTAGAAAAAAAAGTGGGTTTTTTGGTTGTTGTTTTTTTGCATAAGTATTTTGAAACATGCAAGGGAAAGGTGGGTGGCTGAAAAAATCCTAAGGTCCTATACAAAATCCAGACATGGCATCTTCAGATTCAAAATCATGAGGTTAAAACAAGTGGCTATACAGATATCTGAAGGGGGGAAATGTGCTACAGGCCACAATAATGCCCATAGAAATGGACTCCAGCATATCAAAGTTACACAGGTTCATATGCAGAATTCAAAATAAATCACTGGTGATCTAATGATTAACTAATGGGCTTTGGTGTCAGACTGGAGATAAATCTAGGTTTAATTACTCACTTTGCTGGGGCTTTAGACAAGTTAAAGATTATAGATCAGTTCCCTAATCTGTCATCTGGAGACAGCACTCACTACCTCATAGCATAGTTGGGAAGGTTAAACCAGATAATATATACCCAGCTTCTAACACATGATGCTGGGCACATAGTAAGTGCTCAGTAAACATAAATCTTAGCAGTATTATTAATATGCTAAAAAATTCTTCTTTTCTGATCACTGGTACTAGTAAATACACACTAAACAAGGAGTCAGCCCTGACTGCAACCCTAAAATAGCCAAGTGACCCAAAGTCAATAATCCCCATCTCTAGGCCTCAGTTCCCTTAATTATAAAATCATAAATTCTCTCGAGTCCATTCCTTCCATGGACTTATTCTCTTGAATTTTTCAGCATTGCTCTTGCTTTCTCTGTTCTCCCCCATCTCCTCACTCTGTCCCCAGCCCTTCTTTACTCCCTAAGCACCAAGGCATCTAGTTTCCTTCTCTCATGTGAACAGCAGCACTCATCTAATGGTTTTCCTGCCACCACTTTCTCCTTTTTCCAAGGCGTATTCCACATGGCTTCTAGGGCTAGCATTCTAAAACCTAATCCGATGATGGCTCCCTGAAGCCTACAGAATCCTCTTCCCAGTCCGGCCTTACTCCACCCGGAATGGCCATCCTTGCTCTCCTCTAGCAATATCTAGGGTCAGCTTCAAATGTCACCTCTTTTTCAAGTCTCTCTAACTTCTCTGAGACAAAGCTAGATTCTCCTTCCTTTGTGCTCCCACAGCCCTACTTACACATCCTTTCTGTAACCCTCATCATCGTGATTCTTAACAGCAAAGCAAGACAAACAAACAAACAAACAAATCATAAAGTCAAGCACTTTAATTACCAGTACAAGAACTGGAATGTACTCGGTATTCCATAAATGTTTGTCAAAGAATTTTAAAAAGTGCGTTTAAGTGACATGACCAAAGATAGCCCAATTATTTAGAAGGAATGGAGCAGAATTGTGGACACAAAATACTTGTGGAGAGGTGGAAATCTGAGGTCCCCAAGATTTTCTAAGTCTCTCTCTGGGTTGAACTGAAGGTCTGTTAAACTATGGATATAACAGACATGCAGCGCAGCCCCTTCTTTTTTCACCCAATAAAATGGGGCTAATAATGGTACCTACCTTACAGGATATTGCCAGGATCTGGGCAAATGAATTAATAAAAGCAAAGTACTTTAAATAGTGTCTGGCTATCATCATCATCATCATCATCAAGCCAGGAGCGCTCCAATTCCATGCATACACTTGGACTTACAGGCACTCTGGAATTCCTAAAATTACTCATTTTCTTTGGAAACCTGACAGACGAGCCAGAGGGTCCCCCCAGGGAGGGGCCCGGCAGCCCCTGCTGGCGACGTGGCAACCTCACGCCCTGAAGGCTGCGGCACCCGGGCGGCAGGAAAAGCATCGCCGAAAAAGGAACCGGAAGGAAGATGGTGTAGAGGGTCCTGGCTTCCCACTCGGACAGCCACAATGGAATCAGGGTGAGAGGCGCAAGCTGCCGCTTGAGCTCCCCTGAGGAGGCCTCCCGGGGAAACAGGCCAAGTTTTGTTTGGTGGGGCCTTCGCCCGAGGCTGGACCTTTGGGGTTAGCATCTGACTGTGCGAAGCGGGCGAGGCGGGTCTCCCGGCAGGGTCCTCGCTCTCCCTGGCTCCGAGGAGAACTCCCGGGCCAAGAGACCCCCTTCCCTCTCCGCGGACACCTCCCGGGCCCCCCAAGATCCCCCGGGTCGCCCTCAACCACGCCCCGAAGGACGCGGCCACCGGGCAGGGCTGCACCTTGAAGTAGGCGACCTGCAGGTAGTTGTAGGGGCTCCGCTTGTGGAACTCCAGCTCCAGCTCCTCGCTGAGCGCGTGGGCGCCCGGCGGCCCCAGGCAGCGGCGCAGGCAGGCGGCGCGGCGCAGCAGG